TTTTTCTGGGAGCATTTTCTTCAGAGTTCTGTTCTTGTAAGCATTGTTCTTAAATCTGGTCAATGAATGTGTCTGATATGTTCCTCTAGTCTAGTGTGCTCATGAAGGAAAATGCACTGTAGGTGCCATGGATGGGAAGTTTATGAATCGTTTCAGATTATTTTCTTACTGGTGTAATGCTCATCTTTGCACTCACACAATTTACCAACTCCCTCCCTTTTCTAGATTTTGGAAATTACATTATAGTGCTGAAGTAAACAATTGTGGTGAATGAATATCTGTGACTTTTCTTGGAAAGATATTCATTCACCACAATTGTTTAGAGCATGTTTTTGCTTTTTGTTTTAGTAAGCAATGAATCTGAGCAGTTAAACTCCTGCAAAGTTAGTGATGCCATCTTTAGCTGGAAATCCTATCATTGCCTTTCTGCACACATTTCCAGTGTCCTTACCAAACAGTTCAGGAATGTGTGCTTGCTAATAATATACACTTCTCCCAGTGTGTGTATAGCCTTTAATGACTGCTTCGTGACTTCACTAACCCAACCCTCTGCTAAAGATGAACTAGTTGACCTGGTGCACATGACAAAACAAGCTTCTAGTCAAAGCCCATTATCACAACTAAAGCGTGGGTCAGATGGAGCAACTAAACCAACAAGGTAGCTATAGGTGTTCTCCCTAACTCAACCCGCGTGCAGCAAAGGCATGGAGACACTCAACAGAAGGCTGAGCATGGGCTTTGAAGCAGGACTTCCGATTGCCCTCGGAGTGGGCAAGTTCTCCAGCACCATCCGTGTGACTTCAATCCCACCTGCCAACTTAGCTCTTGCCCCATGTTTTAGGAAATTATGTGGTAAACTGGTAATTACGTTTGAAAATGTTTAACTGAATGGGGCTTTCTGCAATAAAGCCCCCACATATCAAGCACATCCTGGACACATTTTAGACTTGACATAGCATGTTTAAGTGCTTAACTTTTAACTCAACGTGGGCACCAGTATCCGTGAATGGAACACCCTGCCTCTCAGCTATCACACGCTACTTGATACCAATTTATCCTGAAACACTACTTATATAATTTGATCACAGAGATGTCCTCAGGGGCTGAGATACATGGTTCTCAAATGGTTAAATCTTTTCAGCTTACAAGCCTTTCATTTTCAATTTTCATTTGCTTTTTGGTAGTCATATCTTATTGTTTACCTGTTTCTGGATAAAATGTCCTTGACACTGGTGACTTGTTTAGGAATAGAAAACAGATAACGAAACATGGGAATTTGATGAGAAGGAAGAATGAGGATATTGAAGACAGAAGGCGCAGGCACTGACGGCCTGTGGAACGCTGGGCCATAGTTACACACCCTTGGCCTTTTCCTATTGGAGATGCAGCCCCTGATGAATCTAAATGAGTGAAATGCAGTTAGTTCAACATGTTGGGCAGGTATCAAATAAAGCAGTCGCCTGCTTTTGTTTTGCTTTTTTAGGAGGGGAGCCTTAAAATTGTTTGTTTAGGAATACAATCTAAATACACTTCTAATCAAAGACTGTGAGAAGAATTACACAGATCAGCAGCTAGCTTAATTGGCTTCCTATAAACTTATTAACAAATTAGGTTACAAAATACAAAAGCACTTCAGTGAATCATCATGAGGTAGCAAACTCAAAGCTGAGTTTTAACGTGCTTTTCACAACACGACGTGCTTAGCTATCTGCACAAATGAGTCATTTACCTCAAGCCTGCTAACACTATGGACTACCTGGTATTCTGTAAGAGCAGTCTTATCTGGTGAGTCAGGAGTGAGTAGTTCCTAAGTCAGCAGGATAGGCAGCCCTCACAGCAGTCATGAATAACAACACAGCTGTCTCTCCAAGGTTCTAGAACACTCAGGACATACTTTAAGTGGTTTATCAACTCATGTGTTTGGTTATGAAGTGCCTATGTGAGGTACACATGATAGGATTGGGTGAATTTACACATGGCAACTCTAATGGTCACATGGTAGCTTACTGAAACACCAGCCTGCTTCCAGATGTGGGTTTCTGGGCAGAGGAACAGCTTAGTATGTTCTAGAGTGGAGAATGTGGGAGGGGAAAACCAGTTTACTCTCAGGGCACAAAAATTACCTTCTGGAAAATTTTTCATTTTTCTCACTACTCTTACTTGACAAAATTAAAAGCTGACCATTTCGTTTCAAGATTGCCAATTTCAAATAAACGTGCCTTCTGTGAAACAGGAAGTATGACAACTAAAGCATTTTTACAAGAATGTTGCTGTGAGCTGCAGTGAACGGCTTTGCAGACAGGGAGGTAGAATGACCAGACAAGGCACCCACACTTTTGGTGAGGACTTTACTCCAAAGTCTTATGACCAACTGTGGAAAAATAACTGGTTCACCTGACAGTGAAGGCGCTTAGGGGCGCTGAATAAATGGTCTCAGAAAACAAAAACAAACCAGTTCACGCAGCCACGGAAGACCAATGCTCTACCACTCCCCAGCGAGAGGCAGGAAGAAGGGTTAGGAGTTTGTGCACAGTCCTTGTAAAGCTCCCCCAGCAGATACTTTCCAACTCTACCTTTAGGGTCTTGCTGTTGGTCCTGAGAAAGGTCAGGGCACACAGTGGAACGTGCTGCCATTCCATGAGATACAGTTATGGTCCCAGTACATGCTTCAGTCTAATGCTCTCCCAACTGAGCTATTTAATGTAATGTCTGGTATAGGTACCCAATAATCATTGGCTTTATCACCACAAAGGTTGAATATCTGTCTCCTACGCCTCCATGGAAAACGATGATGGGCTCAGGTGATGGCTCAGTTAGTAAGAAGCCTGACATATAAGCATGAGAACCTGAGTCTTGACACCCCCCCTCCCCAGTGCTCACTGCAGTGTGACTGTAACCTGAGTTCTGGGGAGATGGAGACAGGAGCAGCTCTGGGGCTCACCAGCCTGGCCAGCCCAGCTCAATCTGTGAGCTCCAGATTCAGAGAGAGAACAATTGAGGAAGACACTCAGCATTCATGTTTACCCTCCATGCTCACAGGTACACACATCTGCAAACACAAGTGTACACACAAGAGACAGACAAATAAAAATAAAACATCATGAACTGAGTGGATTGTATCTTTAATAGCTTATGGGTAGCTATTACATGAGAATTGCAATGTAAAATAAAACTAAAGAGTTTCCTGACAGTGGGATAAAACTAAAACCAATTCAAACTTTTCAGTAAACCTATATTGAAAACTTCCTTGTATTTTGTTTCAATGCTGTACACTATTAAAAAGATACAACGCAAGAGGGAGCTCAGTGTAAAGAGCTCCTGCTGGCATGGGAAGCCCAGGGTTCATCCCTAGTACCATGAAAGTTATTGCATGAACAAAAACAAACTTGTATCACCCTTGACTTCCATAGTATCATGACTCCTTTCACGTTCCTGTTCTTCAGTCTGGTTCAAAACAATCACTACCTCTTCACTGAAATGTGTTTAATCATTTTATTGAAAGTTTTGCAGGGCTAGAGAGATGGCTCAGGTGTTAACAGCACTGGATGCTCTTGCAGAGGACCAGGGTTCAATTCCCAGCACTTGCAGGGTGGCTCATAACCATCCACTAATTCCAGTTCCAGGAGCCCCCAACATCCTGGGGCACCAGGCACGTGCATGGTGCACAGACACACATACATGTAGACAAGCAGTCATACACATAAAACCACAAAAATAAAATCAGTCTAAAACATGTCTGTTTGTTTTGGTACTATTCACACTTCACAATACACAAATATTAAAACTGTAAAATAAGTCAGTGCAATTTAATTACGTGATAAGTTGACTTGTAATCATTTTCCTTTTAACATGGAGGCTTGGCTTGTCATCAATAGTCTTTCTCACACTGCTAGATATAACAACTAACAAAAGAAAACAGAACATATTACATATGTGGCACCAGGCTCACTATTGCTCATTAAATAAGAAACCCTAGAGATGACCCATCTATCCCAGCAGACTTGACAAATGAGTGTCCCCAAATTTAACTTTTCCCCTGCTCCTGAAGGTAACATACTTTTATGGCAGAACTCAAGTACTAAACTAAATTTTACCCGTTGTTATATACCCTTATTTAACCTTAGTGGTGTATCATTTCACATATGGGTCAGAAAATGAAATAGGTGGTTTTGCTGTTGGTGCTGCTATTTGCAATATTTGCCAGTAACCCTTGCATGGCTTACTTCCCTGCACAGCTGGTGTCTAGTGCATCTGTGCATTGGGTTTCCTGCAAGGCTGGCTCTGTCCTATCTATCTTTACAAACCAACCAATCATAAGGGCCTAAAAACCTTAACTGTGTTTTGACAATTTTATTCAAAGTCTTGATTTAAAAAATCATTTTAAAGTGTGTAAATGTTTTTGGGGTAAGGGGAAACAGGAATTGAAATGAAAAGTAAAAGCACTAAGCCTTGCTTTCCAAGTCATTGTCCTTAGCAGACTCTTTTCTGACACACACACACACACACACACACAAACACACACACACACACACACACACACACAGTTTATCTACATTTTGTGAGGCTAATGCAATAAAGGAGTTGTCTCTTCTAAAAAAGATCAAAACTTTTTCTCTCAGTATGTGTAGATTCAATCCCTTAGATTACAAGTAACTTAACATCCTGTTGCCCTGTTTCTCTATAATTGACTGCAAAAAAATCCATAATTGAGCAATGAACTATGTGTCACTTTAATGCAAATTCAAATATACTTAATATCTAATTGACCTTCAAACTATAGCTGTAAGTGCTCTTGCCACTCACTCAGCTGTCACCAAGTTAAACAGCGCGTGCACGCACACACACACACACACACACACACACACACACACACACACACACACACAGCAAGCCATTTGTAAGGTAGATCAATTTTTTTATGTAAATAGTTTTTCACTGGAACATTTTTATGACTAATTTACTCAAGAAATTGGGATAATCATAGTAATGAGACAAAAATCTCTATAAAACAAGGGGTTTTATTGCCTCAGAAATTTTTGATGGCAATATTTTTCATAATTCATCTAAAAACAGGAGAATTCCACAAAGGCTAGAGGATGGCAAACTACTTCAAATGAGCAAAACAAAACAGTATAAAAACACATTTGACAGAACAGGGGAAATTTTTTAAAAATATATACATTCTGTTGAAATACTGATATGCAAAGAAACAACTTGTGGCCAATAGCCAAATTTAAATTCCCAATTAATTAAAATCCAAAGTACTGACTTTATTGTTGAAAGATACATAACTCTTGATCTCAGGATAAGACCTGACCATTTTATTTCTATATAAAGGACTGAAAATATAAAGTGTCAAATATAAGCAGTAGTGTAGCAAGAAAATAACTGGCAGAAAGAACTCCTCAAGAAGTACTGATAGTTAAAACCTCCAAAGACTTTTCTATACACAACAAAGGAGCACTACAAGAGTTTCGATCTTAAACGGCTACTGTTATACTTCTTTCTTCTTCAGTATGAGTGGACCCACGTTATCGCCTGTCAATTCATTGTGCTTATTATGGGACCCGTCACAGGCAGGAAACTAAAAGGAAAAAGAATTGCAAATGTTATTTTACAACGGGATTGAGTAAGTAGAAACACCTGTGAAATGCTCGCATTGCCAGTATGCCACTGACTGAATACAGCTCCTCAGTGAGAGCTTGTCAGTATGCTTCCTGACAGAGGACATGCCCACCATCCCACCACTCCACAACCCTGCAGCCAGGCAATGTTAGTAAAAAGAAGACTCTTTCCCAGCACTCAGGAGGCAGAGGCAAGTGGATCTCTGAATTTGAGGCCAGCCAAGAGCGAGTTCCAGGACTGCCCGGGTTACACAGAGAAATCTTGTCTTGTAAAACAACAAACAAAACAAAACAAAAAATCTTTGGCTGAATCCATCTCAGTAAGTGTAAAAGTTTAAAAGGGATCAAAATAAGTTCTTAGTCTCTATAAAGCTTTATATTTGAGCTAATTTCTTATTTAAATAAAAAAAATGGAACGTACATTCAAAGTAAAATTTCCAATGTTTTCTTATACAACTCATACTGTAAAGTTTGTGAAAAATATTAAAGATGTGTTAATTAAATATTCAATCCATCCAAATAGTTATAATCAACATTTTATTACAGGTTTTCCTCTGAATTTATTGTGACATTCATGTTTTAAACGCAAACTTACAATCCTATTATGCTTTTTTTCTATTAAAGCAGGACCTCATGTCATTACATGTTTGGGTGCCTGAGCATAGGGTGTGTGTGCTTGCCTGTGGGGACACATGCGGACACCAGAATTGACACAGTGATGTCTTCTTCAATTGCTTCCCCACCTTAAGTTTTGAGACAGGGCCTCTCATTGAACCAGTAATTTCACTCCTGACTGGCCAGGGAGCCTCATCTCTGCCCTGCCTCCCCCAGTGCTAGGGTAACGAAGTCCACCACCATACATGAGTTCTGAAGATCAGAACTCAGGTCCTTATGCCTGTGTGACAATATTAATCCACAGAACCAGAACCATCTCCCCATGAAATATTTCTTTAAAACATGATTTGTGGGCTTGAGAGGTGGCTCAGAGGTTAAAGGCATTGACTACACCTCCAGAGGTCCTCACTTCAATTCCCAGCAACCACATGGTGGCTCACACCATCTATAATACAATCTGATGCCCTCTTCTGGTGTGCAGGGAAACACACAGGCAGAACACTGAATACATAATAAATAAACACATCATTTTTTTTTTGAGACAGGATTTCTCTGTGTTGCTTTGGAGCCTTGTCCTGAAATTCTCTCTATAGACCAGGCTGGCCTCAAATTCACAGAGATCCACCTGCCTCTGCCTGTGCTGGGATTAAAGATGTGCACCACCAATACCCGGCTTAAATAAATAAATCTTAAAAAAAAAAAAAAGATTTGACTTCCCAACACCCCCCATCAGTTGTGACTTCCTGTACTTTGACTGTTGCCTATTATAGTGTTCCCAAAACTTTACTGTTAAAAAGAACGAAACAAAAACATTGTACTTAAAATTTCAACTACCCTTCACCAAATACAAGAAAACAGATTTTGTCAACTAGGATTCATTTTCCTCATTAAAACCTATGTTATGGCTAGCATTTACTAGCTTACACTATATAAGACATTTTACATCTCATTAAATCTTCAAAACTATCTTCAAAACTACAGAGAAGATGGAAAAAACAAAACAAATAGCAACAACCAAAAAAACCTACAAACAAGAGATTAAAAGATAAGTAACTCAGGTTGTGCATATTTGCCTTTAATCCCAGCACTCAGGAGGCAAAAGCACCCAGTTTCTGTGTGAGTTCCAGGCTACTTGGAGAATACCACCAATTCTGGGCCATTCAGTGCTATACAGAGAGACCCTGTTCAAAGAAAGAAAGACACACAGAAACTGGCCCAAACCAAATCAAGCTGGCAATTCGCTTAACCTGGCTGGCATCTAATTTTAGTAATGACTTGTTTTGACTTCAAAGTTTAAGCTCCTTTCCATTAAATCTTAAATACTCTCTCTTGCATAAAGCAGGCAAACAACAAACCGAACTATAAACTCTATTGCTCTGCACAAACGCTGGGCAGTGAGAGCCTCAGGTCACTGCTCTCTGCCCTGCTCTAATTCAGGCACTATCAAGCACAGAGGGCAAACTGCAACTCGGGAATATCCGCCCTGAATATCTACAGTATGGAGAAATCCCCAAACCGAGGGCTGAGACAACCCTAACTCCAAACAGTTTTATCACACGTGTAAAGGGCCATCTTACCGTCTTGGAGCGCCAACACCTACAGTAAGCTGCTTTAGTAAGACACAGATCTTCAATGTTTATCTCGTTCACCACTTTGGGATTTTCTTTTTGTATTTTCAGATTAATCGAGCTATCCTTCTGTTGTTTCTTCTTCGGGAAGAATGGGCGAACGGCAAGGTAGCCGAGAAGCGCAAGCACACCAAGGAAGGGCAGCAGGCGGAGCCATTCTGAAACTGAACACGTGCACAGCTGTCAGCATCTGCAGAGCTCTCCAAGGAACACAAAGACTGCAACAGTGTGCGCTGCTTCTCTCAACCTCTCAACCGTATCTGTGAACTACATGAACACAACAAACCCAGCCCCACTAGGCTCACCTTATTTTATTTGCAGACTAACTCGAGTTGTGAAACTGAAAATTTTGGAACAAGTACTATTTTAAATATCCTATTTCATTTACCTACTAAGTATATTTATTCTTGTATTTACTTTTATCAGGACTTATAAGCAACATAATTATGAAAATGTCTTATTAACTTTAGAAAACATGTTCATTCTGTTCTCCTTAATGCCTTATCTAAACCCAAACAATGGAAATTCCACACAAATTTTACTACCGATTTATAATTTCAGGCAGAACATAGCCTCAAATGTTTCAACTTTTTTTTGGTTTTGGTTTTTTATTTTTTTGAGACAAGGTTTCTCTGTGTAGCTTTGGAGGTTGTCCTAGAACTAGCTCTTGTAGACCAGGATGGTCTGGAACTCACAGAGATCCTCCTGCCTCTGACTCCCAAGTGCTGGGATTAAAGGTGTGTGCTACAACTGACCGGCTTCAACTTGATTTTTAAGTAAAAAAAAATCCCTTAAAAAGGCTATTTTAATGAACTGGAACCTTTACACATAATGAACATTCTCATTTTAAGATTCATATTAAATACCTTTTAGAGTATCTAGTCAGTCTTTACAACACATGAAATACAAACAACACAAATGGAATGGCTCTCAAGTCTGACAGGGCTCCCAGTCACCTCTGGGCATCCTTGCCGACCTACCCCACAGCCTGCTAGACACTGCAGCCTAGCTAAGAAAAGATTACCTGCCAAAGTATGCTAACAAATACCAATGGTAAGTGATGGGCCGTGCTCCAGAGTACAACTGAGCCAACTCATTTAACATGCTGATAGCTTTGACAACTGCATCATTTTAATATTATTTATTCTCTTATTACTTGTAGATAAAATGCAGCACAAGCAGGATTAGTTCATCAGCCTAAATGGAAAGCCCATTCTAAGTCACCAAGAATCAAATTCCACAGACCTAAAATTAAATGTTTTTCTATTTAACCACTGACAAATGTCGGCTTTTAACTGGGAAGTGCTGGGGATGGAGCTTAGTGGGCCAGTGCTAGCCTACTGAAAAGAAAAGAAAGCAGTTTTGATTCAACACAATGCCAGAGACGGAAATGAAATAACGTACTTCTATAAGTGAATAACTGCTGAATATAGAAAAATATCAAGTATTGCACAATGTACTTTAAAATCACTAGGCAGACACGGCACACCCTTCTACAATCCCAGCACTTGCTGTTTCTGTGGGATCCACAAAGGCAGAGAAAGAGAATGGGTATCTTCCTCTATTGCTCTCTGACGTACTGTCTCAAGATGGAGTTTCTTGTTTAGCCAGAAACTCACCCTTTCCTAGGCTGCCTGCCCTCTTAGTGTTAGAGGCTTTCCAGGTGAGTGCTGGGACTCACACTCAGGTTCTCATGCTCGCAGAGGACGCCCTCTTGCCCACTAAGCGGAAGCACTCTTACCCACTAAGCTACCTCCCCAATTCCTAGGTTCTTAAATATGTATTATTTATTTTTGATATTGCTATTGTTTCGTATTGGAACCTTATCTGGCACTAAATGGCTCTACATTCTGCAGACAGGATTACAGGTCTACAAGACCAAGCCTGATCTTGTAGTACTAGAAACTTCGAGTCAAGCACTCTACAGTTAAGCTACATCTCCAGTCCTTAAAACTGTCTTTATGAACAATTAATTCCTTGGTAATCCAGTGCTCTGAAATAATATAATAAAAATCTGATTATGAGAGGTATTGTTATCTCCTATAACAAAGCAATAACATATAATACACTGAATACAATCTTTTTTTTTTATTTTTCAGTTTAAATTTAGATAAGAAACAAGGTTGCTTCACAAGTCAGTTCCAGGTCTGTCTCCCTTTCCCTCCCCTCCTCCCGTGCCCTCCCCCCAACCCCCCCTCATTATCCCCTCATTTCCCCAGGGAGGGTGAGGCCCTCCTTGGGGGTGTCCATAGTCTGTCATTTCATCCAGGGCAGGGCCTAGACCCTTCCCCAAGAGTTCAGGGTGAGAGTGCACCTCACATTGTTCTATGGGAGTCCAAAGTCTGTGTGTATACTCGGGATGGGTACTGATCTGCTGCCCAAGGCTCAATAGATTACCTAGGCCTCCTCACTGACACTCACATTCAGGGGGTCTTGACAATCTATTTTTTGAAGTCAAAAGTTTTATAAAGTGAAAACAGGATATAAAGCTCAATTAAACTATTTTAAGCATATTAAATAAGCGCCCCCCCCCTCTCTCTGTCTGTCTGTCTGTCTGTCTGTCTCTGTCTCTCTCAAGACAGGATTTCTCTGTGTTTCTCTCCCAGCTGTTCTAGACCTCACTCTGTAGACCATGCTGGGCTCCCACTTAGAGATCCACTTGCCTCTACCTCCCAAGTGCATTAAAGGCATGTGCCACCATGCCTGGCTAAGACAGTTCATAACTGTCTGTAACTCCAGTTCCAGGAGCTCCAGAATCCTCCTTACACAAACATACAGATAAAACACCAATGCATATTCCTGTCGCGGCCGCCATCGGAGAGGAACAGCCATGGCCCTGCGCTACCCCATGGTACCCCATGGCCGTGGGCCTTAACAAGGGCCACAAGGTGACGAAGAATGTCAGCCAGCCGAGGCACAGCCGGCGGAGCGGGCGCCTCACGAAGCACACCAAGTTCGTGCGGGACATGATCCGGGAGGTGTGCGGCTTCGTGCCCTATGAGCGGCGCGCCAAGGAGCTGCTCAAGGTGTCCAAGGACAAGCGCGCGCTCAAGTTCATCAAGAAGCGGGTGGGCACGCACATCCGCGCCAAGAGGAAGCGGGAGGAGCTGAGCAACGTGCTGGCAGCCATGCGGGAGGTGGAGGCCAAGAAGGACTGACCCCTGTCCCCCAATAAACGTTGTGCGGGCAAAAAAAAAAAAAACACCAATGCACATAAAATATGATATTTTTAAAAATGTGTTACAAGGAGTACATTTCTTCAAAAAAATTTTTTTGGTTTTTCGAGACAGGATTTCTCTGTATTGTTTGGAGGCTGCCCTGGAACTTGCTCTGTAGACCAGGCTGGCCTCAAACTCACAGAGATCCACCTGCCTCTGCCTCCCGAGTGTTGGATTAAAGGCGTACACCAACAATGCCCGGCCATTTCTTCAAATTATTTTGTGTACTATTTATAATTAGTGACTCTCCCAGTAACTAGTATATATAAAAAACGTTCAAAGCAAGTAGCTTATCTTAAAAGGACTTTTATTTGTTTGAATCTTCCGTACCTTATATTCTTTAAAACATGAGTTTTAATGGCATGTTTCACCTCCCACGTGTCTCACCCACAATAAAGGTCTACTAAAGCATGGGCTATATTTGTCTGGGTCACCACTGTATTCTAAGTACCTAAATAGTGTCTGGCTCAATATACTAATTTATTTTTTACTAAGACATCCATAATTTATACTTCAGTTTCTTTAATTTTAAGGTTCAGAACAATGAGTTTTGAAATTATATGAATCTGAAGATATTGCCTAAAATAAAGTGTGCTCTTTCTAGCTACAGGTAACTTCTGTTAATCTAGAACATTTGCTTTTGTACCTTACAAGTCTCCCTTTCTGATTATTATTATTATTGTGTATGAGTTTTGGGAGTTTGCCACTGGACAGGTATAGAGTCAGGGAACAAATGTTTGGACTTAGTCCTCCTTCCACTGTGGAATAAGCAGATCTAATTCAGGTCTGTGCAGCAAGTGTTTTTACCCACAAGCCATCTAACAACCCTTCCGTTGTTGGCTTAAGTGCAGATGGTTTAGGGGATGGCTCAGTCTGTTAATGGGCTTGCTTTATAAGCATGAAGGCCTTCGGTGGTGCAAGCCTTTAATTTAATCCCAGCACTCAGGAGGCAAAGGCAGGTGGATTTCTGTGAGTTTGAGGCTAGCCTGCTCTACAGAGGGAGTTTCAGGATAGTCAGGGCTGTTATACAGAGAAACTCTGTCTCAAAACAAAAACAAAAAACAACAACAACAACAAAAAAAAAACAACAACAAACCTACCACCAACAAAAAGCACGAAGCCCCAAGTCCAACCCACGGAACCCAGGTGTGGTGGTATGTGCTTGTAATCCAGTGTTGGGCAGAGACAAGAGGATCCACCCCTAAGGCTCCATGGCCAGTTCCAGACCTATGAGACACTGTGTCTCAGAGAAGGCAAACAGCATTCTGAGGATGACACTCAAGGTTACTGTCTGACCTCCACATGCAAGTGCATATGCGTGCATCAACACACACACACATATATATATGAACACACACACACACACACACACACAGTGTATAATAAATGCTTTCTGAAGAAAATCTCATGCATTTCCTCTGGTAAATCAATCTGGTCTCAAGTCTTACTGTGAAAGAACTACGTGAGCACTCTGTGCGGTGCGGCTTCTCTGCGTGCAGTGCACGGTGCCTGGGACAGAGCAGGGATGCAGCAAACAACTCAAGTTTCTGTTATCTTTAGTCTGAGTCCAGGTTTCATTCGTTTGCAAAACAACAGCATTCATTCGTTTAAAGAACAGTATTTACTAAGTACACTATATTCTGGTTGCTGCATTAGGAACAGGGGTGCTCGCTGGTGGCTCATGAGAGGAGGGGACAGACACTAAGGAAACAAAATACAAACAATAAAGTCTCAGGTCGTATGTGCTGAGAGCCATGAAGAAAATAAACATGGTGACACAAAACTAACAAGACAAGCCAACCAAGCAACCAAGCAACCAACCTGGAGGCACAGCAGTGAGGTGACTGCACTCAGGGCCGGGGAGCTGGGGAAAGTTCTGAAGAAAGAACTAGGCAGAGCCCTGACAAGTGGGAAGCCAAAGACTCACAGATTCACAGATCTTCAAG